CGCCCTGCTACCGGAGCTCCACAAGGGCACCGCGGTCAGAATCGTGGTCGGCTACCAGCTCCAGACGGCCATTCTCATGGACGGATGGCCGCAGGGTCCTCGTCACCTCACCGGCGCTCTGCGTAACGCCAGAGGTGGCGCCAAAGGGCAGCCCGGCAAGGGGAAAGACGGTCCTGGACGCGGTGGTCAGGATATTCTTGGCCCTGGACAACCCCTCCAAGGCCACAGGGTGGACACTCACCGCTGGCAACAGGTGTTCCGGGAAGACGACAATGCTAACACTGCCATCAGCTCTAACTTCATTGGACTACGTCACGTACGTCAGGTGGCGGGCGAGCACGTGAGCACTGGGGCCCTCGAACTCACGACAATCGACTCCAGCCAGGGAGGCGAGGCGGACATCGTAATAGTGTTAACTACCCGGAGCAACGGCAGCTACAACTGGGGTTTCGTCGACGACGCCAAGCGCCTGAACGTGGCAATCACCAGGGCCAAGCGGAATATCCTGATCTTGGGAGACGGTCGCACGTTCGCCAACGCCACATGGTCGCAGCTTCGCGTGCTCTCAGAGTACGGGAGACTGACTCGCCTCTGGGCCCAGTTTCGTGGCAGCACCCCCGTGGGCCGCAGGCTCCCCCTGGACATTGACGACAGCTTTGACCCACTCCAGGACCTTGCCGCATGGATTCCCTCGCCCCCTGCCTGGGGCAGTGTCGCAAAGGGGGAGAACGGACAGAACGAGCTGGACGTCGCCAAGAAGAAAGCGCGCGATGCCCAGGCCACCTGCTTCGCCGAGCGGTTCAATGCGCCCCTGGAAGAGAGCTTCGACTGGGACACCCTGGGCAAGCTAATCTCGGGAGGGCTCCACGATATCCTGAGGGGAAACCTCTTTGTACCTACACTTGCCACAGTAGACGATGCCATAAATTTGGACATGTCATGGTTTGGCGTTACTCCTGGAAATACTGAAAACAACGACGACAATGTCAGACTTCCTGCGAGGTTACCGGTCGCCTGGGAGAACAAGTTTAGAGCGCGACCGACTCGCAGTTGACACTCCGTTGCAAGAAGGATAGGCATGTGTCGGGACCATCGTCTTATAGTTCCAGTATTGCGACATTCCTCCGGCTCAGCCGCGAGGAGACGGGAGCAGGCACAAATGGATCTGGACCTCAAAGCAATCAGCGGGCCTAAGGCCGCGTCGATAATTGATGGGCTCCTTGCACTTGAAGAACCCGAGGGACACGTGCACTTTCATCATGAGGACCGTCTGATGAAGATATGATTGTTCGGGAGCGATCTTCGGGAGTTTGCCGCTTATTACATAATTGAACACACGGGAACGAACCCCACTACGCCCGGCAGGGTCACCCTGACTGGAACGGAGGACTATGTGATCCCGGCGATCATCAGGAAAATAGTGAATGCCAATTGGTTGGTAACAACACAAAACATGGAACTGGGCCATCGACCCGTAAGGTTTTTCGCAATTATTCGTGAGATAATTTGCTATTTTATATCAGAGGACCACTTCGTTGACTACTCGGGGCGAATCATTCGTCCCGAAATGGTGAGCACCGACGAGGTTGAGTCAAAGAGACGAACCGACGCATACGCTTTGGACTGCCGCATTCGGGCGGCTGTCAAGACGGATGACATTATAGAAACATGGGCCCGCACACTGGGCCGGAGAGTGCAGAATGACGTCCGTCGCCACGGTGCTGCAATACAAGAGGCCATAACTTGGCTGCAGGATAAGTATCCTAACCCTGGTACCGATCTTCAGGACCGGGAAAATGGTCCTTTCCGCACTGCTAGCGGCCTATATGGTGTCGCCGCAGCTACTGCGGCCAGAAGCACATTGCAATTTATGAACAGCAGGGACAATGACCCTGAATACGACGGCGAAGCCGAGATCGTGGGGCCACGTGTGCCTGCCGGACCAAAGGCAAGACCCTTGTCTCGCACGCCATCTCTTCGACCTGGCATCTCAGATGCTCAGGCGTCTGGGGAAGCTATCGGTTCCCCGCGTTCTGTCGCCGGCTCAGCCGTGCCGACCAGAGGCGCTGTCCTACAAGGTCCCGACCCGAGGGATCGGTCGGATTTCCAACGCGCGCACGACGCAGCCATGGATGATGCCTCTGCCGCGGCCGCCGATGGCGCCGCTAGCCTTGCGCTGCCCGCGGCGGCGGACGCTGCCTCAGGCGCCGCAGGATGCCGCCCCACATACGACCCCAACCAGTCCTACCCGACCCACGTGAATGGAATCCTTGTCGGATACCACCTCCACCGGGACAGGGTCACGTGGCTCAGTGACGACGATTGGTACAATTTGCCTTGCTGGACCCGGCTGTCGAAGTGGGAGCATAATCATCATTTTCCGCCGACAGAGGCGGCGCAGGTTGGAAATAACGACACAGAGAGAGGGCGTTCTCGCACGCCACGTGGCACGGAAGGACAGACGGGAGGATCGGCGACTTCAAACTTGCCGCCTCCGGCGCCGCCAAGGCGAGAGAGTTCGCCGAATCCGTGGGAGGACCTCAACTGAGCGCGGCCCGCGCGACTCCGTCCGCGGCATGCGCACACCAAATACTTTACCCACGCGCTAAGCGTGATGGGCGCGGACATCTCTATTGGTCGGCTAAGCCAGACCAGCGGAGAGAACATATTTATATCTTCTATAGTGGGAAACGTCGAGCCTCTTCGGCCCTTGGCCCCCTGGCAGCCACCGCTGAGCCGTAAAAGCTTTTTGGGGTTGGCTCCGGTGGATGTACAGGCTGGGGGTGCTGTGGCTGGATGGGCTCTACGCGGCCCGCCGCGGGGGGAGTTAATATGCTCCTCTCTGCCTAATACTCAATCAGAAGATAACTTAGATTGCATGCAGCGAACTGTCCGCGTGTACTGACGCTGCGTTTCTGCAGCTGTGTTACTGCTCAAACCAGCCGAACTCGGCTGGCAGGAGAGAAAAGGAGCGCGCTGGGGGGCGCGGGCGATCCGTCGTCGTCCGTCCTCGGCCTTCCTCCCCCCTTCTATTCCTGATCGAGTGGTTTAGCTTAACGGATATCTGTCTTATCAATGTCTCATCTCGCCTCCGCTCTCCCTGAGCAAAGTGAGCATGAGATCTTATTTCCTTTGTCATACTACCCCGATTCTCAGAGGAAAGACTGGAGGAGGAGGAGGAGCAGGAACAGGAGGAGGAGGAGGAAGAGGAGGAGGGGGAGGAGGAGGAGGAGGAGGAGGAGGAGGAGGAGGAGGGGGGGGGGAGGGGGGGGAGGAGGAGGGGGGAGGGAAGGAGGAGGGAGGAGGAGGAGGAGGAGGAGGAGGAGGAGGAGGAGGAGAAGGAGGAGGAGGGGGAGGAGGAGGAGGAGGAGGAGGGGGCAGAGAGGAGGAGGAGGAGGAGGAGGAGGAGGAGGAGGAGGAGGAGGAGGAAGATGAAGCGGAGAAGGAAGGGGAGGAATAGGAGAAGGAGGAGGAGGCAGAAGTGTTTCGGGCCTGCGGAGGCCGAAAGGCAGAACAAACCTGCTGAAGACACAGGTGCGCGCTAAACGTTGTATGCCTGGCACTCTAAACGTTTTTTCCTTCCTCTTTATATATATATATAATACTCAGCGACTTCCGACGTGCACGCTAAACGCCCATAGAAACGGATATAGATTGCACGCAATGTTTGAAGTGCATCTCTATTTGACCTCCGCTTGGATTGCATTTCAAGGTCCCCGTGTGCAATCTATATGTGGCTACTTGACCGTAAACCGCTGATGTCCGCGTGGATTTCTTGGATAGGCGTTGGGCCCCAGGGGGCCCGAGGAAAGAGGGAGGAGGAAAGAGGGAGGAAGAGGAGGAGGAGGAGGAGGAGGAGGAGGAGGAGGAGGATGAGGCGCGCAGCCCTGCTGAGAAGCGAGGGGGGCGAGCGGAAGACGGAGCGGCCGAAAGTCAGGACGGAGCGGAAACCGGAGCGAAGGCCGAAGGTGGTGGAGATGGAGGAGGAGCGGCAGGAGGGCCCCCCTTCTCCCTTGCAGGGGCCACAGTTTGCCAGCGCCTGGGGCATCGGCACATCGGCCCCAAGTCGATCGCGCGTTGCGTTCCGATCTCTGTTCATTTTCTGTTGATCGCGAACGTTTCCACTGACGCTGAGAACGAGGAGCGGTGGACGAGGAGGAAGAGGGGGACGAGGAGGGGGAGGCGGGCAGCCATGGGCAGAAGGAAGGTCCAGGCTGGCAGTTTCCATGCGGCGCTGGCAGGTCGTTAAGTTAAAGGCCGATATTCAGTGGCACCCGTCGTTGGCGAAAAACATATCCATGTCCGCGGCCTCGCGGGCCGGGCCCCTCGGCCGCGACCCCGCGGATACGGGGCGTTTCTTCGCGGATGCCCCACGCGGAACGTATCGGTGCGGCCGCGTATCTGCGGGGTGGCGCCCCGAAATCCTGACCGCGGGGGCGCGGATGCGGATACGTTCGCCGCGCGTGAACCCTCCAAGTTCAGACGAGCCTAAACGGTGATACGGGGAGGAAGGTAGGCTCCCGGCCGCCGCTTCTTCTGCTATGCCCCACTCCCGAAGCCTGCTCGTGCTCGCCCTCCCTCCCCCCCTGCTCCGCCCTGCTCCCCCCCCTCTCTGCCCCTCCCGCCTCCCCTCGCCAGGAGTTTGAGGCGGGCTGGTGATTCAACTTAAAACGCACAGCCGCAAAGAAAACACTCCAGACAAGCGTGTCGCCGCGAGATGCAGGGAAGTCGGGTGCGCATTAAGGAATCAGAAGTGTCATCCAAAGGAGGGGACAACATGGGCATGGGCTCCCCATGGCATCTCTACCTCCCAAGCCCCCCCTTCTTCCTCCCCGCGAGATACTTTGCTGATTCCTTGCGAGGGGGGGGGGGACATGGGAAAATAGACACCCAGGACAGATTGTACATATGTGGAATCTTGGAAGTTGTGTCGACTTATGTGTGCTCCTCTGGGCTCCTTGAGTCGGGGATTGGGGGCTGTGGTGTGGTGATCCGCCCAGGCAGCGCGCCGAGCGCGAGCGGGACCTGCCGCGGCGGCTCGAGCAG